CATTATCTCTCAAGGAAATTTAACATTAGCAGCTGAATATACCAAGTTCAAAAGGTTGTGGGAAGACTTGAACCTTTTAGATTCCCTAGAAAGATGTACCTCTGAAAAATGTAAGTGCAGGCTTGACCGATCAGATGGAGGACGTGAAGGAAAAATGATCACAATGCAGTTTTTAACCGGTTTAAATGATTCCTACTCTGCAATTAGAAGTCAAATTCTGTTGTTAGAGCCACTACCAGACGTGAAGAAGGTTAATTCCATGTTGCTAAATATGGAAAAGCAGCAATAGGTTCAGACGATGTTATCTGAAAAAAACCAGCACAGTGCAATGTTGATTCAGAAGGGCAACAATTTCAGCAAAAAGGAAAATGACTTAAGGAAGGAGAAGGCCTCTAAGAAGACTCTATGGTCTGATCATTGCAAGATGACGGGCCACACTATAGAATTTTGTTATGAGATAAAGGGCTACCCAGATTGGTGGAAAGGAAAAAAGGGATCAAAGAAAGGACAAGCTAATAAGCATGCGGCTAATATGGCAGAAACACCTGTTGATGTTGCTGTAGAAGGATCCAATTTCACAGGAGGAGACATGCAGGCAATTCTCAACAGTTTTAAACAATTGCATATGGAAGTTAGCAAAATGGTGAAGGGAAAGGCTCAGGGCGATGGATATGATGCTGAAAAGGTGAATTTCGCACATTTTGAAGACTTTGCAGGTATGAGCTCATATCATTTGCTAAATTCAGTCGACTATTAGGATGATGATTCCTCAACTTTAGATATTGGAGCTACTAGTACCATGTGTTCTAACCTAAAATTGCTTAAACATGCTAAACCTGTGTCTTCCTTCACACCTGTGTCTCTTCCGAATGGTTCAATTAAACACGTCACTAAAATTGGGGACATGGAACTGTCCAAATCCCTTACACTTAAAAATTGTCTCCATGTTCCAAATTTTAAATTCAACCTAATCTCAGTAAACTAACTTGCCATTTCTGCTGGGATAGATTGTTTTTTTTAACCACTTTTTGCCTATTACAGGACCAAGTGACTAGGCAGATTGTTGGGGTTGACAGGGTTTAGAACAGACTATACATTGTCAATCAAGCTTCGTTTTCAAGAGAAACAATCCTAGATTTCATGACAGTTCATGTAAATCATCCTTTTGTATTAGCAACTAGTTTTTGTAAATCCCAGCCTTTACCGAAAATCTTGTTAGTTACAAATGCCATGTGGCATCAAAGGCTAGGACACCCTTCTGATATAATTATCAAGCATTTAAATGTTTTTAATCATTCGGATAAAAATTTGCATATATGTGATGTGTGTCCTATTTCTAAACAATCACGACTACAGTTTTCTTTGAGTACCATTCAATCCAAGTTAGTTTCCGACCTCATACATATAGATGTATGGGGTCCCTACAGTCAACCTTCAGTCTCAGGTGCTCATTATTTTCTAACAATAGTCGATGATTTCAGTAGGTCTACATGGACTTTTCTCTTGCAGAATAAAGCACAATAAGTATTTATGCTATCTGTCTTCTTCAAAATGATTCAAAATCAGTTTGATAAGTTGGTAAAGGTCGTAAGATCTGACAATGGGACTGAATTTGTAGGTTCTCAGTGTCAAGAATTATTTGTTAGTTTAGGCATCATTCATCAGAGGACATGTCCTTATAGGCCACAGGAAAATGGCGTAGTGGAAAGAAAACATAGGCATTTACTCCAGGTTGCCCGTTCTTTAATGTTTCAATCCTTTGTTCCAAAAAAATTTTGGGGGGAAGCAATTTTAACAGCAACCTATCTAATAAATAGATTGCTCTCTTCACTTTTGGGATCGAAAAGCCCCTTCGAAATTTTGCATGCCAAACAACCTGATTTATCTCATTTGAGAGTTTTTGGAAGTTTATGTTTCGCCACAAATAATTTGCCTCATAAGAACAAGTTTGATGCTAGGGCCATTAAGTCAATATTAGTAGGTTATCCTAAAGGTCAAAAGGGATATAAATTATATGATTTCACTTCTCATAAGATCTTCATTTCCCGGGATGTTATGTTTTGGGAAGGTTTTTTTTCCTTATCAACCTCTTTTATCAGCTAGTGAAGCCACATGTTCTCCTTCAAAACATGTTTCTGAATACCCTTTTGCTTCTCCACAGTCTAAATTTAGACTGTCATGAAACTTTTATTTTTCCAAAATTTTCAGAATCTAGTTCAGGCCTAGAACCTAATTCAGAGCCTGAATCTTCACCAAATGTTGGGTCTCATGAACCTGAATTGTCTGACTCTTCTCCCACTGATAACTCCTCTATTTCTCGGTCATTGTTTCATGTTCCTCTTTCAGGGCCTGATTCTTCGTCTCCTCTCCATCAGTCAGTAAATCCCCTGGCTCTCAGAAGAAGTCATCGTCCTGCACAAAGACCCACATATCTCAGCGATTAAGTCTCTGGTCCCATTCAGTCAATCAGTCCTTCTGCCTTCGTTCAGTCAGTTAATCAATCCCCTTCTTCTTCTCCCTGCACTCCAGTAGCCGTTCCTTATGCCACTCCACAAAAGTTTTCAGCTGAACACATGGTAATCCTGGCCCAAATAAATAAAATTCAGGAACCGAGTAGTTATTCTCAGGCCAGACACCATCCTAAATGGGTAGAGGCCATACAAAATGAGCTATCCGCCTTAGAGCATAACGATACTTGGGAACTTACAGTGTTGCCCCCTGGGAAGAAAGCAATCGGGTCAAAATGGGTGTATAAGTGAAATATCATTCCGATAGGACTTTGAAAAGATATAAAGCCTGATTAGTTGCAAAAGGATATAATCAGGTAGAACGCGGAGATTATTTTGATAGTTTTTCTCCTATAGCTAAAGTTGTCACAGTTCGAATTTTGTTAGCTTTAGCTACTGCATATGAATGGTCTTTACACAAAATTGACATAAATAATGCCTTTTTGCACGGATATATCGACGAGGAGGTATTTATGCTGCCACCTGAGGGATACACAAAAGCCTTGCCCAATCAAGCAAGCGTCCATGATACACCTGAGGGATACACCCGAGGTATTTATGCTGAGGGATTGTTTTGTCGCTTAAAACGATCTTTATATGGTTTAAAGCAAGCGTCCTGTCAGTGGAATGCAGAATTTACTTCTTAGATTCAGGTTTTTGGTTTTCAGCAGTCAGTCCATGATCCTTGTTTATTTATCAAGAACTCTGGAAATGTATTTTTGGCTTTGATTATCTATGTTGATGATATACTTATTACTGGTTGTAATGAGATGGCTATTGCTGAGGTTAAGAAATTTCTTCATGCCATGTTTACCATTAAAGATCTAGGGTAGGCAAAGTATTTTCCGGGTTGAAATTGCTACTGTTAATGGTATTTATCTCAGCCAGCGAAAGTATATTTTAGATCTGTTGAAAAGTGTTGGTTTGTTGCGCTGTAAACCTACTTGTACTCCACTTCCCAAGGGCCATCAGTTTCTGAAAAATTGGGGTGAAGCACTTTCTGATCCCTCTCTTTACAGAAAACTAGTAGGTCGGCTATTGTACTTAAGTTTTACTCGCCCTGATCTCACCTTTGCTGTTCAACAATTGAAGTAAATATGTTCAGACCCCCTGCCAGCTTCATTGGGAGTCTTTGTTGCATATTTTGAAGTATCTTAAAGGTACTCCATCACATTGTTTATTTTATTCTTCCACAAATGATCTGAAGGTGGAAGCCTTTAGTGATGCTGATTGGGGAGGGAATCCAGTCCATCGTCGGTCTTTGATAGGTTTTTGCATTTTTCATGGGTCTACCTTGATCTTTTGGAAAACAAAGCAACAGGCAACCATTTCATGTTCTTTAGCAGAAGCTGAATATCGAAGTTTAAGTGCTACAACTCGTGAGCTTTTATGGATTTTATACCTGTTGAAAGATTTTCAGGTTTGTCTTACTCTCCTGGTACCTTTGTGGTGTGACAGTAAATCTGCAATTTACATCACTAAAAATACTGTTTTTCACGAGAGGACAAAATACCTTGAAATTGATTGTCACCTAGTTCGGCATCATTATCAGTCGAGTTTTCTGGTTCCTTTGCATGTTTCCACTACTGATCAACTGGCGGATGTTTTCACGAAATCTTTGTCTTCTCCTCTTTTCTCTTCCTTACTGTCCAAGCTTGGTTTGAAGGCTTTTTCGGCACCAGCTTGTAGGGGGGATGTAAACTCAGTGCACGTTGAAGGAGAAGAAGATTGATCAATGTTTTGGTATTAATAATTCTGCAATAGAAAGTTTTATATATGATTTGGGGCTGTTGTGTAATTGGGCCAAAGTTTAGGACTGGTCTTGTATAGTTTGACCAATAGTTGCATTACATATAGTTTTTTACTTTGAGTGCTTTTTGTACTGTAACAAAACCCAGAATTCACGACATAAAGTAGATCTGATTTTTCTCCAATTCAGACATTGCAAAGAACCTTAACTTGAATCAATCCGCTTCCACAAATTCACCATCAATGTCCTCCTTCCAAATCGTTGAAGGACCATACACTACATATCGTCCTGAGTATTCTATTGTCATCGTTCATTTGGAAAAAGATTCCGACTGAATATCAATCAGTACATGAAAACAAAAGAATTCAATTATTACAAGAATGAATAATATATTATTGTTTATAGTTGTTAAAATTAAATAAATTCTTCTTTATTTCTCCTACCCTCACAAATGATAGTCTTGTTTTTGAAGTTATTTTAAAACATCAAGCATTGCTTCTTTTTAACCATTTGTAGGAAGTACATATGTTTAATAACTCCTTTCTTCCCATCATTAAAACCTCTTCTCCATAAATCTTTTATTTTCTTTTAGCCACAAAAAATTTAATTCAACCCATTTATATTATCATCTTCAACACACACATGTGACTGCAGTGAGCCCTACCGCCAGTACATTACATCTTCATTGTTAATTAGTACGTGAAAAACATATAGGTGCAAAATACATGAAGTTGCCAAATCACATTATTTTATGATATAAAACGAAATATGTATTAAAATTGGACTATTAGTGCTCCAACTTATAGCAATGGTATATCAAAGAAAAAAAAAATTCTAAATTTTCTTTAGCTATAAAGCTCACTACCCTCCCATCTATAAAAATAAATCAGGGCGAACAATGCTTTAGCCTTCAACCTTTTACCTTTTCTTTTTCCCCCATTATTATTATTTGTTTCCCCCCAACATTATGACAGCTTTATTGACTAATAAAGCTGCCTTAAATGCTGCATCCATTTTCTTGTGTTTGGTTTGGCTCTACTTCATTTAGTTTCAGGTGCTACAACTAAGGAGTACCATTGGACAGTGGAATACCAGGACAGGTCACCTGATTGTGCTGGTAAAAGTTCTGTAATAACTATAAACGGCCAATTTCCCGGTCCGACGATCGAAGCCAATGCCGGAGATACCGTTGTTGTTTCACGTTACTAATAAGCTTGAAAACGAAGGAACTGTTATTCACTGGCTTGGTATAACACAGGTTTGTGTTTTCACAACAAATGCATTCTTTTAATCATAATCTTAATTTGAGATAAAGCTCAACTCTTTAAATGTACTGCCTTGTTCTTTAATCAGAAGCTGGTTTTAACAATAAAGCATCGTTCCATCTATGATTTTTGATAAATAAAAATCTTGACTACATTAGAAAAATTAATAAAAAAAGAAAAAGAAGAGAGAAAGAAGAACAAATTTTTGCAAATTATTCTGCCATCATATGCATTTTTATTTTCTTAATTTCCTCTAAGATTTTTCCTCGAAAATTTAATCAGATTGGGACACCATGGGCGGATGGTACGGCATTCATCTCGCAATGCCCTACTAAGTCAGGAGAAAGTTTTATTTACGATTTCATTGTTCCCAAGGTAAATCATCATACATGATACCCTTAATTTGATGAAATTCTTACCATTGCATCCATTTTAGCTTCCATAATATTATCTCTGTTCCAAAATTTTGCTCGTCCAAAATTATAAATTTGCACATGTCAAGTTGGAAAGGTAAATGTGTAGTCCAGTTATTTCTCTCGACTAAATTTTCAACAAATTAAGTATCAAATTTATTTTGAAATGAGTTAAGTGACTGAAGGAAGCACAGCTCTTTATGAAACATATGCATCTAGCCAAGTGTTGATTATCGTCACAAAAGAAGTGGCCATTGGGTAGTACGTAGGACCTCATCAATCTTAATCATGATGAGATACTCGGAAACTATGCATTGTACATTGTACTTTTAAATATTTTTACTACAGCATAGGGAAGAGATTTTGCACTCTCGTATATTTTGAAAATTTATTTAGTTATCATGTTCTTTCCTTCTGGAGCATAGTATTGGAAAATTCATCTCATACTTTTTCTTAGTCCTTCCGTCTAAGAGCAATAATTAACTAAGTTTAATATAATACAACAAAGTAAACATTTTCTCTTTTCTTGGAACGGAGGAAATATCTTACAAACTAGTTTGGGAATAGTTCTTTTATTTTTTGTGAATTAACTTGCCACAGGCTGGAACATATTTCTACCACGGACATCTTGGAATGCAAAGGTCAGCAGGGCTGTATGGCTCTATAATAGTCGATGAAGCTGAAGGCGAAAAAACATCATTCCAATATGATGGGGAATTCAATCTATTATTAAGTGATTGGTGGCACAAAAGCTCTAAAGAACAGGAATAAATCTTATCTAGACCAAAGGGTTGGATTGGTGAGCCCCAGATAAGAAAGATGATCCAAAAGAAAAGCTTTTTTTTCTTATTTGCCGTTTTGAATTTGTGGATAGGCTTCTACTGTAACTGTAGTCCCATTAAAAATATCTTACCAAAACTCCTTGCTAGCACAAGTTGTAGGAACTTTTATCTGTACCTGTAGTCCCTTTTGCTAAATGATTTTTGCTTGCCATGACTTCAATTCATTATAGAAATTAAAATGGATATTAACGATTTGAATAAAAACACTGCACATCTTCAAAATGACATTTAGCAAGTCAAATAAAATATTTACTCTATTCGTTCCAGAATGATTATCTAATTTGAATTTTATTTTTTATTTTATTAAATTCTATCTTTAATAAGGTATTTTTTCGAAAAGGATAACTTTTTGTTTTGATACATTATGCATTCAGTGTCCAAATCATTGCTCTAACTAATCCTGATTCGAGCTAGTCGGACGACTTTATTAGGAAAGCAATATGCATCCTAACTTTTTTGCGTTTGTTTGTTGCAAGTGAGAGTATATATCCTTTGATTGTTTTTTAAGATACACTTATACACTACAGCAATACGTTATCCATATCTTTATGATGAAAACTATTTGTTTAAGCGAATAGTTAGTTGGAAATGAGTAGTAAGTGAGTGAGAATTAAGTTTCTCAAGAGTTGGAAAAATAGAATTAAGGTTAAGGGACTTTGTCCCACATTGGTGTTGGGAAGAGTTGAAGCTCACTTTATAAATGAGAGCCCAAAATTGACTTGCAAGTTGACTTGCCAATACTATACCACATCTCTTCCGCTCGCGTGCGCCCGCGCAGGGGGTGCAAATGGAGGTCCGATTCAGGGCCAAAATAGCTTGACTCATGTGTGCGCACGAACTGCGGACACGAATGCCGAACCGAGCTCTTGCGGGCCTGATGAACCTATGTTTTGCTGTCATGAATGACCAAAATGAATTGGCATATTTAATTATGTTAAAAGGCAGAAATTCATTTGATTGTTGGGGTGGTCAAAAACGTTTTTGTGCCATGAATTCTCTGCATTTAACAGAATTAAAATGCTGAAACCGTTACAAGATTTGCTGCCATTTGAAAGGTTTCTCCAGCCTATAAATAGACACTCATTTTCCAAAATTTAACAGACCTTTTCTCCCATCTCTTTTAAGATTCTTTTGAGCTTTTCTTTCCTTCTAATTTTCGGTGTTCATGAATTTGTTCTAAGTTCTAGTTCTCTTGTAGAGTTACTTTGTGCTAAGTAGTCTCTGCGTTTCCGTTGTATCATGGGAAACAGTTGCTCGAGATCCTCAAGCACCTTAGGAGGGGTTAAATCTGTTTTAAAAAGATCGTGTTTTCACGAGTCTTGGATCTTTCTTATTCTGATTTTCCTTAACCTTTGCGAATACTCAGTTGTATTTTTTCCAACATAGTTCTTGTACCCTAATATGAATCATGTACGTTTCTAAAATTAACTAGTGCCATAGACTATATATATCTCGGTAGGTTCAGGATATAACTGACCAACTTCATTTATTTATTTTTATTGTAATTGATTATTTTTCAAAATGTTCATTTTGCAACTGTTCATGCATGTAGACCAAAATTAATAGAATGTATAATAACAAGACGGTTTTTAGCAACTTTGAGTAAACTTTAAATCATCTGGCATTTGCAAATTGTTTTTTGATGCTTTGTAGACACTGTTGATTAATGGAAGAGGGTTGTATTATACTGGGAGAAGGCCGTTTGACTGTGCGCTCGATGATACCGGTTCAAGCACATACGTTCCAAAATGTATTAGCGAAAAAAGAGGAATGTGCTAAAACTTACAGATTGAGATTGGCCAGTACCACCGCACTGGCTTCACTCAACTTTGCAATTGAGGTATAAATATAACGTCAATCTCTTCTATATTTCGACATTAAGTTTGTTTAATTTTTCATTCAAGTTTTAAAGTGGCGACTTATATTGTCAAAAAGGAAAGAATATGTTTGTTAAACTATTTCTCTTTTCGACTTAAGTTCTAAAAGTAGTGCACAGACTTCTAATACGAGTATTTGGAATTCATTCTGTCACAAGAAGAAAAATTTTATTTGTTAAACTAAAAGTTGTTTATATTAGTAAGAATACTTTTACTTTTGGATTTCAGAAAGTAATATATGTCCTCTTTGTCCCAAAAAAATATTCCACCTTTTAATCTATATAATTTATACTAAAATTATTACAGTTTATGAAAACAATGTGAACTAATTTTCTATAACAGAGATGAAGTAATAAATAAGTAAGAAAACAATTACAAAAAGGTATATATCATTCCGCTCCATGAGGAATTATTGAATGTGGACTATTCCATGACTTTTATTTTTTCCTTTCTTTTCCTTTTTTTTCCCCAGAAACACAAGATCAAGGTCATTGAAGCCGATGGGAGCTATGTAGAACCATTTGAGGTGGATAACTTGGACATATATTCAGGTGAAAGCTACTCAATTCTATTCACAACCGATCAAGATCCTTCACAAAATTACTGGATATCACTTAGTGTCATAGGAAGAGAACCAAAAACCCCTCAAGCCCTAACCATATTGAATTACTCCCCTTCTTCGGATAAACCAAATACCCCTCATCTCGCACGGGTGACTTCATCATCCAAGCGTCCGTCTTCACCGTGACCGATTCCGCCAGAATGGGACGACAAAGAACGTATGAAAGGTTTCTCCAAACAGATTTTTGCTCAACAAGACTCTCCAAATAAACCGCCTGAAAAATCTAATCGTCGCATCATTCTCCTAAACACACAAAACACAATTGATGGAGTTAATAAATGGTCCATAAACAACGTGTCATTAACCCTACCGGAAACTCCTTACTTGGGATCTATTGTAATATTTAGTATATTTCCTATTATGTCCTAGTTTAGGGTTTGTTATTGTCTATATATAGTCTGTATATTGTACACAACATATTATGAGTTCAATACAATTTCCCTATTCTAAGTTGGTATCGAGCTAGGTTTAAAACAACCCAAAATTTTTTTTCTCTCTCTCTCTTTTCTTTTCTCTTCCCGCCGCCAGTTTTTCTTCTTTGGCCGTGCGCACTCCCTCTGCCGCCACACACAGCCGCCACACCCAGGTTTCTTCTTCTCGTGCGCTGCCATCGTCCCACTGTTGCCGTAGTGCTGTGTCTGCCGGTGTTCATCATTGCTGCCGCCTGCTGCTGCTGCCGCCTGCTACTGCCGCCTGCTGCTGCCGCCTGTTGCTGCCGTCTCGTCGTGCTGCTGCTGCTGCTGCCGTCTCCTCCTTCTTCTTCTCCCCGTCGGTTGGTGCTGCTGCTGCTACTGCTGCGTCGTCGGATTTTTTTTTCTGTTGATGTCGTTCTTCTTCGTCGGTGTGCGTTTTCAATTCGTCGGCGTGCTGCTTCTTTGCCGGACGTGGTGCTTTGCCGGCATGCTGATTCGTCGGTGTCCTCGTTTGCCGCCGCCGCCTTCTGAACTTTGATTCTCGGTCATTTAAAAAAAAAAGGAAAAAAAAAAACAAATTGAGCCTTATTCGGTTTTGCGTGCTTTCTTTCGACGATGACTCTCACCGACCTGTCATCCACCGACCAGGCTACCCACCTCCGGCCGGCGGCACCTCCTTCACAGACACCCGTATCACTTCTTCAACCAAGTCTACAGTTTCTTAATCATTCCTTTACTCTGAAGCTGCAATCTCGGGCCAACTATTCATCTTGGCATCTTCAGTTTACTCCTTTATTGACTATGTTTCGTGTTGCCGGTATTGTCGACAGCACCGAACCTGCACCGCCACGTTTTCTTCCTTCCGTTAGTGGTGCCTTGCCCCAACTCAATCCTGATTTTGATATCTGGCAGCAAAAGGATCAGTTGGTCCTCTCTTGGATTCTTTCTTCCGTTGCTGAAGAGATCTTTCCCGTTCTCCAGGGCTGCACAACGTCGGCGGCTGCATGGACAGCTCTTCAGCAGGGTTTCGGCACTCTTTCTTATGCTCAACAGACCCAGCTTGTTATGGAGCTCCACAGCTTGTAAAAAGGTGACTTGTCAGTCACGGCTCTCCTCTCCAAAGCGAAGGGTATCGCCGATACACTGCAGCTTGCCGGCCATCGCATATCTCCTGCGGAGTTTAATGCCATAATCTTCCGCAAGCTTGGTGCCGAATTCAATGGCATCATCGGAGCTCTGCAACAGCGATCTGAACCCCCCTCCTATCAAGATCTCCTTGGACAGTTAGTTTCGTATGAGGTGCTTCTTCACGCCCAACAGCCGGTCCTTCAGCCCACGGCCATGCTTGTGCAGTCGCCACTTTCTCCTATGCCACCTCAATCCTCTTGTGCCAGTCGCTCGCAACACGGCGGCCGGCGCAATCAGGTTTCTGGTCATGGTGGTGGTCGGCGTGGGTACACCCCTCCCGCTACGGGTGAGACGTGTCAACTTTGCGGCATCTTGAATCACATGGCCGCCACTTGTCGACGTCGTTTTGATACTAATTTTGTTCCTCGACCCCCTGCCGTTCGGTCGGCTGCTTATTCCCAGGCAGGTTCTCCTGCACCGCCTTCAGCTGGTTTGTTGCCTCTTCCGTCTTACCCGGAGTCGACTATGTCTCCTCAAGCCCTTATGGTGCAGTATGCCCCTTCTGTCACTCCCTGGCATCTGGACACTGGTGCTACCGATCATGTCAAAAAAACCTATTCTCTTTTCTCTTTTCTTCTTGGCCGGCCACTTTCCCCGCCACTTTCCCCTTCACTTCATCTTCCGCCGCCGCCGCACGTAGTTCCTTACTCGGCCTTCTTATACTGCAATTTTTTTTTTCGGTTCCCTCTCTTCTTCCACCGCCGCCGCACGTAGTTCCTTACTCGCCCATCCCTAGTTTCCTTGTTCCTCAAAATCCTTCTCCTTCCCCTGCACCATGTCTGCCGCTGCCTCATCTGCGATCTTTTCTCCCTCGATCTTTTCCTCCTCAACTCCTATCAACACCTCTGTTTCGTCCCCCTCTCTATTCTCCTTCTCAACCAATGTCTCATCCCTCCATCAATCTTTAACCATTAAGCTGTCCTCGCGTGAGAATTTTGCGAGTTGGAAGCTTTAGTTTCTTCCGCTTCTTCGGATGCTAAACCTTTAGTCAATCATTGACGGATCCGAACCTGCTCCTGCCTCTACTCTCAATGATCCCGCCACTCAAACCCCTCAACCAAACCCTGCTTTTGCAGTGTGGCAACAAAAGGATCAACTTATCTTCTCCTGGATTCTCTCTTCTATCTCGGAAACAATTTTTCCGTGTCTCCAGGGCCTCTCTACTTCTGCTGAGGCTTGGGCTGTTTTGGAGCAAAGCTATGGGTTGCTCTCTCATGCTCAACAAACCCAAATCGTCCTTGAACTTCACAATCTTGCTAAGGATGATCTTTCTGTTTCGGTCTTTCTTCCCAAGGCCAAAGCCCTTGCCGATTCCTTGGCTATGGCCAGGCATGCTATTCCTCCGGCAGAATTCAATGCCATTGCTTACAGAAAATTGGGTTCCGATTTCAATGGAATTATTGGTGCTCTTCAACAACGGCCCGAACCGGTTACCTTTCCGGAACTTCACAGCCAACTGGTTGCGTATGAATTATTGTTAAAATCTTAGCAACCTGCTTTTCCCACTGCTCTTGTTGCGCAATAATCTCAGCAGCCATCCAGTGCGTCTTCTCACGGTGGTCGCGGCTCACAGCGAGGTGGCTTTCGTGGCGGCCGCGGCAAAAATGGTGGTCGTCGGGGCTTTGTGAACAGTCCTAGCCCTGGTTCCCTTGGTCCTTGTCAACTCTGTGGGTACAACAATCACACCACTGCTACTTGTCACCGTCGGTTTGATCAAAATTTCATTCCGCGATCTCAGCAACAAAACCCTAATTCTGATGGTCTTCTTCCTAATCCACCCCAGGCTCACCTTGCTGCATCTTATCCCGCCATGAACAACAATCCTTGGTATCCCGATTCTGGAGCTACTCATCATGCCACCCCGGATCTGTCCTCCTTGAGCATCTCAAATGAATATCATGACACCGATGCAATTACCATTGGCAATGGTAAAACCCTTCCTATATAACTCATGTTGGTCACTCTCTTATTTCCATCCCGCATAAAAATATTCAGTTGAATAATATTTTACGTGTTCCCTCCCTTACCAACCCTCTCTTATCTGTTCAAAAATTATGTCGGGATAACAATTGTTTCTTTGAATTTCACCCTTTTTCTTGTCTTGTTAAGGATCGACTCTCGCAGGCAACACTCCTGCGCGGAGGAACTGAGTCCGGACTCTATAAGTTTGGCGGCCATTCCCCTCCTCACCAATCATCACCAGCTACTTTTCTAGCCAATCTCGAGAGCTGGCATGCACGTCTAGGTAATCCTAGTTTCAGCACTGTCAGGCAGATAGTGAATAAATTCAAGCTCCCATGTAGCTCTTTCAAAACTTCTTCTGAACAATGCCATGCATGTTGCCTTGGCAAAATGCATCGTCGTAGTCTTAGGTTGACATTTCATCGTAGTTCTAAGCCCCTAGATTTAATTCATACGGATGTCTGGGGGCCAGCACCTTTACTTTCACATCATGGTTTTCGCTATTTTGTTTTATTTATTGATGATTTTTCGCTTTTCACTTTGATTTTTTCAATTAAACAAAAGAGCGATGTTCAATCTATTTTTCAGCAATTTAAACTCCTTGTTGAAAATCAATTCAAAACTACCATCAAATCTATCATTTCTGATTGGGGTGGTAAGTATCGTTCTCTTAATAATTTTTTAAAATCTCATGGCATCAATCACCGTGTTGCTTGCCCCCATACACACGAACGAAATGGTACGGCTGAATGAATAATCCGCCAAGTTGTGGACATCGGCCTTGCTCTCTTAGGGCACTCAAGTCCTCCGTTCAAATTTTGGGAGTTTGCTTTTGAAACAGCCGTCTTCCTTATTAATCGGATCCCATCAACCTCTATCCAAAATCAACTACCCTTCTCTGTTTTATATAAAAAAACACCTGATTACCTTTTCTTATGGGTGTTTGGGTCTGCTGTTTATCCTCACTTACGCCCCTACAATAAACACAAATTTTCGTTCCGCTCTAAACAATGTGCCTTTTTAGGATATTCTCCCGATCATCTTTGCTATAGATGCCTAGACCTTGAAACTAATCGTATCTACATTGCTCGTCATGTTCACTTTGACGAATCAATTTTTCCATTTGCTAGGTCTACGGTCATCACCTCCTCTCCTTCCTCTCTATCCAGTTGATCATGGTCCTCCAAACTCTTGTTCACGTGAACTTCCATCACTCTCCACCGCCACCAAATGTGTCCATCTCCCCGAGTGTGTCTCCGCCACCTCCCGCCACCTCTCCGGCTCTTCCTTCTCCATCCGAAACAGCATCTTCATCCCCTCCCCGATCACCATCTTCGGCTCCCTCTCACTTTCGGCGCCCTGATTCTGAATCCTTATCACCAAACCCTACCCCTCATATTCCCTCTAGTACTCCTTCTAGTTCGCCGCCAAACTCTTCTGACTTGTCTGCTTCCGCCTCTCCTTCCCCGTCTGCCTCCTCTTCCTCTCCTCATTCCGGTCTTTGTCTCGTTGTTGACCTGGATGACTCCAATCCTGCTTCACAGCCCCAATCTCAGATTGGTCGCACTCATCCAATGACCTTGCGACCTTCAACCCTCGCCAAAACCAAATTTGCAAATCATACATCTCTCACCTCCACACTGCCTCTTGCTCCCCTCTCCTTTTCGCAAGCCAAATCCTAGCCAATCTGGCAGCAAGCTATGCACCATGAATTTGATGCTCTCACCAAAAACAGTACTTGGCTTTATAAAGTCAAAACTAATCCAGATGGGAGCTTGGATCGGTGTAAAGCTCGGTTGGTTGTGAAGGGTTTCACTCAAACATTCAGAGTTGATTATACCGACACCTTTAGT